CTCTCTCCCCCCCTTTAAGTTCCTCCTCCTTTCCCTCCCGCCTTCCCTCTCCCTCCCTGCCTCTGACCCATCCATCCCTCCACCCACCCACCCGTTCTTCTATCCTTCCGCCCCTCCACCCACCTACCCACGCCCCCGTCCGTCCGTCCGTCCATCCGTCCACTCATGCCTCCGTCTGTCCATCCATCCACCCATCCTGCCGTCCCTCCATCCGTCCACCTATCCGTGCATCCGCCTGCCCGTCCATCCATCTCTGCGGCACGACACAAAGGGGCTTAGGGTGAAAGAAGGCTTTCGGTCAAAGGACAAGACAGCCAAAAGAGAAATAATAAGCCGAATCAGATCTGGAGAAAATAAAGAGAAGAGCGTGGGTCAGGATCAGGAAGGGTGGACCACGGGCTGTAGCCGAGCGCTGCGTGTGTCTCTGCTGAAAGGAAAAGGAAGGTGTGACCAGAGAGGGGAGGATTCTCCGGGTTTGTCTGGGCCCAGATGCTGCTGCTCCTGTAACTACGCTCTGAAGATGCTCTTTCTGCTGACGGTGGCCACCAGGCGTCCACCGTCTCGTATTGCTTTCTTAGGGTAGCATCCCAGGGAAGCTTCTAGCCCGTGCAGCCAAGGGAGACACTGAGGACCACAGAAGTGGAGGGGTCACCGGCCAGGAGGAGGAGGCCGGGTGGGGATTTGGCCCCGCGCTCTCAGCGTTCGGGGCTGCAGCATTCTCGTACGCTGCTGTTGCCCCGGGCAGAACCTGCCAAGGCCAGCGGGGCGGATGCAGAGTCAACACCGCTTAGTGCCTCTTGCAGTCTCAACCCCTAAGGAAGACAGGCTCGGGCTTCACGGGACTGGCAGGGCTTGGCGTTTATTCTGGGTAGGCCAGCGTCCACTGAGTAGGTGGTGCAGCTCTGTGGCTTTCAGTTGTGAGAACAGCCATCACCTGGGCACTTGGAACCTGGACTAGCCCGTGCCTGGGGTAGACGGGGTGGGCTCAGCGTGTTGTAAGTTGCTCCCTCTGAGAGCTGGGTGTTGGATGGGTGATGCAAGCCTGGCTGAAAATGCTGACGGTGTGCTTCCTTCCAGGAGAGAGAACGGCTGCTGCGCTCCAAGAGGCATCGAGGGAAGGGGCTGAAGCCACCCAAGGTGAGCCCGTGTCGCCCCCTGCTCTGTGGCCGTGCCCAGGCCTGCCGGGCAGACGGGTCGTGGCGAGGGGGTGGATTTCACCCAGGGGCCCTCTGCGCGGAGACACACACCTCTCCGCAAGTTCGATGAGGGAAATCCTGTCACCCCCACCTCTCAAAGCAGCATAAATATGGCTGTGTAATGTGACCCAGTTATTATAATTTATTCATGGAAAACTCACCGCTGAAGTCTGTATTTAGGCCTCGGGGTGTATTCATCCAAAATTAAAAGCATCAATACTTAGACCTTTTGAAGGATTTAAAGGACACGCAGGCTCGGTTTTTATATCATCTGATATCATGTTCTGAAAAATAAAGAGCTTTGTGTTTTTTTTAGTTTGAGTCCTACAGAAGTGCATTCTCTTTGGAAAATATAGTTGTGCCCATTTCTCAGGAGTAGAGTCTGAATGTCCGGTTAGGGAAGGGGAGGGCTGGGCTTGTCAGACTTATGCCCATGGGCACCAGGCTGGAATCGAAAGACCATGTTGGAGTAGCTACAGAAAACAAAGACGTAGTGTGGGTTTAAACTTGCAAAGCTATCTTTCACTTTCACAAAGACCTGGGCCTCTTCTCCTTCTCATTGGACCAAGTGCCCTGCCTGGTTTATCTTTTGATCAAGATGTAGTTATACAGAAATGTCTCTCTCTTCCAAGGAAAACTGCCATGCAAGTCTGGCAGCGAATGGCCAAGGACATACAGCCTTGGTGTGAGGGTGATGGCAGGGAGTAGTGGGGACTGTGGCAGACTTGTTACTCTAAGAAAGTGGCCCGAGTATGTCAGATACGCCTGCCTTCAAGAGAAGCAGATCCTGATATATGGGTTTCCTAGGGATGCCTCAGCAAAGTCCCACAACGTGGGTGGTTTGGAACAACGGAAATGTATTGTCTTACAGTTCCAGAGACCGGAAGTGTGAGCTCAGGGGGTGGGTAGGGTCATGCTCTCTGCAACGCCTGATCCCTCCCTGCCTCCTCTTCGCTTAGTCACCTAGCAGTCTTGGGTGTCCTAGACTTGCAGCTTGAACGCCTGTCTCTGCTGTTGTCGTCACGGGCCATTCTACCATGGTCTCTGTGCTGAAGGCACCGTACCGGGGCACCGCTCACACTGGATGAGGGGCCCCCTGCTCCAGTGTGACCACAGGATAATTTAACTGATTACGGCTTCAGTGACCCTGCTTCCAAATACGGTCACATCTGAGGTACTGGGGCTAGGGCCTCTTTTTTGAGGGAGGATAGGTCAATCCATCATACCCGACTTTAGGTAAAAATCTAAGGATTTTAAGTGCTGGTGCAAAGGTCTACCACACTGTGGCCCAAATACAGGTCGGGCATCCCTAATCTGCAAATCTGGAACCCAAATTGCTCCCAAATCTGAAACTTTTTAAGTGCCATCATGACACTCTGTGTGGAAAATTCCACATCTGACTTCATGTGACAGGTTGCAGCCACAACTTTGTCTCATGCACAAAATTATTTAAAATATTGTGTGACATTTCCTTCAGGCTATGTGTATAAGGTGTATATGAAACAGATTAATTTTGTGTTTAGACTTACATCCCATCCCCAAGATATCTCATTATGTTTACGCAGATACTACAAAACTGGAAGAAATTGGAACTCCTTCTGGTCCCAAGCATTTCAGATAAGGGATGCCCACCCTGTAAAGTCCACACCTGCCGACCAAAGGAAATACATCTTTGAGTAAAAGTTAGCCCCTCGGCTGCCTCCTGGTGGCCTTTTGTGCAGTGTTTAGGTGAATGCCACGCACACCAGTAGTCTGAGCTCCTTGATGGCTAGTTGTGAATGAATGGTGACTCACACAGTCTCGTTGGGTTCCCAAGCCACCCTGTGAGGTCGGTGTTTTTTTTTCTGTTTCACAGTACAGGAAACGTACAGCTAGGTGATACAAAAATAACCCAAAGAGAAAAAGCACACTGACAAATCTCAGACTCAACTCTAAGCCTCCAAGGCCCAAGCTTTTCCCACCGAGCCGAGTTGGCAAGGCCCAGATCTCGGTACCCTGGCGGTAGATACTTAGACATGGGAAGTGGCCTGGCAGAACTTGTTTACGTTTAAATATATGTGTTTAATGGAAGAAATATAACCACATTATAGCACCTCCCTGGCACACTGATGTTGGTGACTGCAGAATGCACATTTGCATCCTGGATTTTTAGTTATCGTTACACTATAAGCTTCTGTCCATACTTGCTGCTGTTGTAAATATCAGCGTTTATGGCCACCTAATCTGTGGAGTAGCCGTAAATGTGTTTTCCATCTGCAGCTGCTGGGCATGTTGCTTCCAGTTCCTCACTGTCATAAATGATGCTGCAATAGACACGCTTCTTCTCACGCAGCAAGCGCTTTCTGGGCCAGCCCTGTCTTATTCCCTGATTGGTGAACATGTGGTTAAGGGACTATACCATGATTTAGTTCCCCTTTCTCCTACTGTTGGGCTTGCTGTTTCTATGAATGGCACCATAGCCAACTCCTTTTGTCCAGAAAACTATGTCTGGATTGTGTCCATGGATAGAGCCCCGGAGGCTGAAGTGTGGATCAGAGGGTGAGAAGGTTTGACCAGACGACGTGTGCTCTTCACCTCCACCATGGACAAGTGACACCATTTTGCATAAGTGCCAAGAGTGGGTGTGAGTACAGTTTCCACCACGGGACACATATTATTTGTTTGTTTGTTTGTTTTGAGATGGGCTCTCACTCTGCTGTCCAGGCTAGAGTGCAGTGGCACGATCACAGCTCACTGCAGCCTTGACCTCCTGGGCTCAAGCTTTCATGCCCAGCTAATTTTTTGGTATGTTTTGTAGAGACAAGATCTCACTATGTTGCCCAGACTTGTCTCGAATTTCTGAGCTCAAGTGCCTCTCCTGCCTTACCCTCTCAAAGTGCTGGGAATGACAGGCGTGAGCCACCACACCTGACCTGGACACTGTGTTTAAAGAGCACAGATCTGAGGGGTTTGCCGTTTGGATATGCTGTGGTGTTATACACCCCATAAAGCTTCCACAGGGTTTGCAGAAAACCCATTGTTGAGCCATGGCTTTATTTTTCAAATCTATATTGGAATGCCTGGAACACAAAGGCGATCTCTTTCCCCCCATCTCCTGATTCCTGAACGTGCTATGGGAAGAGACTTCTGCAAAGGACTAGAACTGAGTCATGATTTTCTACCCTTGGACATACATCGGGTAAGGACCGGGGCTGTGTGTCCTACCCCCTGCGTCCTGTTCACGGCCAGGCACAGAGTAGGTGTTGACTGAGAGTCCCGAGATAGTTGCTGGCTGAATGAGGGAATTGCCTTTACTGCAGAAATGCATTTGCATGATGCTGGACTGCCCCAGAATGGGGAGGTGCGGTCACTTTCATGAAAATGGGTCGATGCCACTAGAAGGTCAAGCTTGGGGGTCTACACAGAAGTCTTTCTGAGCTGCCTCGCGGGCTTTTCCACCCATGGCTTGCTGGGTCCACCAGCGTCTTTTCTTTTCCTCAAGATTCACTGTGGACTTCAGCATGGACCCGTCGTCCTCCCATGCTCTTTATGGGGCCCGATGGAGTTGATATTTGGGTCCATCAGGGCCCGGGGCACATTTTAAAAATCTCCCTGCGCTGCCTTTCAGGCCTGGCTTCTCTCTCTTCTTGACTGCACGCCACAAGCTTTCAGTACGGTCAGCCCTCTGTCCTGTGGATTCAACCAACCTTGCATCCACAAGGAAAAAGGCGAATGACTGTGTCTGCACTTAACACATACAGACTTTCTGTCATTGTAATTATTCCCTAAACAAAACGGTAAGCAACAATAGTCATGCGTCGCTTACTAGCGGGGACACGTTCTGAGACATGTGTCGTCAGGCGATTTCACTGCCGTGTGAACATCACGGGTGTGTACACACAACCAGATGGCCTCGTCTGCTCCACACCTGGGCTGTGTGGTAGACCTGTCCCTCCTAGGCTGTCCGAAGGGAGACCCCCCCAAAACTGGGGTTCATTTATAAAAAATTGTGTATTTATCCTTACATGTTTAAACTTCAGTCACCTTCAAAGCAGTCTCTGTTGGATGCAACACACCTGTCAAGATGCTTTTCCACTGCTCAAAACAATTGTGAACTCATCAATTTTGATGCCTTTTCGTGCTTTCTGCCATTTTCTTGTTTTGCTTTGTTTTACTTCTTCCACAAGGGCAAAATATTCCCCTATGGGGACTTTTTTCATCTGGGGAAACCCAAAAAGAAGTCACTCAGAGCCAGAGCGGGTGGACAGGGAGGGTGGGGAACAGGGGTCATGCTGCTTTTGGTCAGAAACCGCTGACCACTCAGCATGGTGTGGGCCGGTGATGGTCCTGGTGGAAGACCCCGCCCCCCGCTCGCCACACCTCAGGACGTTCCTTCTGCAAATCGAGACGCAACCTCAAGACTTCCAGATAAAACCTTTGGCTGGCTGTTCGATCTGGAGGAACACGTTCCAAGTGTACTCCCAGGGGCCTGCCCTCCAAAAGATAATTCCGTTTTTTTGATTATTTGTTTATTTTGGGGTCCTCCCTGGTCAGCCTGGACCGCAGCTACTCTGCTGGATTCTGTAAGCAGTTGTAACATTGTGGGAGGTATTTGTGTATCTCATGTCCCAGTCCATTTTGCATCGCTGTAAAGAAAACCCTGAGACTGTAAGCGTTATCAAGAAAAGTGTATTTAGCTCCTGGCTCTGCAGGTTGGACAAGAGGCATGGCACCCGCGTCTGCTTCTGGTGAGCGGTTCAAGAAGCTTCCAGCCGGGCTCGGTGGCTCAGCCTGTCATCCCGTGCTTTGGGAGGCTGAGGTGAGTGGATGGCCTGAGCCCGCGGGTTTGAGACCCGCCTGGGCAACATGGTGAGCCCTCATCTCTACAATAAATCAAAAATTAGCCGGGCGTGGTAGCGCGCGCCTGTAGTTCCGGCTACTTGGAAGGCTGAGGTGGAAGGA